GCAATATCTCACGAGGTATAAATTCTCAAGAGGAATGTTGAATATTGCCTGGTCAATGTATGTACAATTTTCTCCAGGGGAAGGAAGTCGTAACAGAAATTGAAAAAAAGTATGACTTAGACTTGATCACATATTTATTTTTGCAAATAGATTAATTAATTTATAAAACAATCAAACAAGAGCATCCCTGCTGCGAGAATCCCCTGGTAATTGCAATATCTCATGAGGTATAAATTCTAAAGAAGGGCGTTGAAGATTGCTTGTACCATGTATTGTGTTTAACTCCCCTCTTGAAAAATTTTCACTCCTATGGAGACACCACCCCTTTCCTGTGGAGATCTACAAATTTCCTCCTATACACTTCACTTACGCCCATTGACCAGGGAGGAATCTGTTTGTGCTAGTATCTTCTGCGAAATGGTCCCTCGGTTCACATGGTCTAAACGTAAGGACCAGTGTCTACATCCCGCAGTGGATTCGAACCAGCGAGGTAAGGGTCAACTCCCTTTCTGCTGTCGCTCTTACCACTGCCCTTTCTGCTGTCGCTCTTACCACTGCACCAAGAGGGCGACGGGGAACGAATACAAGCATCTATAAGTTTAAAGAGGTTGGGGTAAAAAAAATTAAACATCAAATATACATTTATTTTTAGATATGAAATCTAAGGCTGTCAACTATCATTTGGCAGAAGAAAATCATACATTTCAGTTTTAAAATTTGATCATTTTTGTGTTTCTTTATATGGGTCGCTTCTTCTAAAGGAGATCAAAAAATTCTGAAAATGGCCACAACTACACAGCTTCTTCAATATCATCTGGAGGTGGGTTGTTGGTTGTCCATTTTTCACAAAAATGAAAATGCAAAGCATCTTGGTTGAGGAGAAGAGGTTATACGGAAACCTTATTTGGGTATTTAAGTTGCAAATAAGATGAATATAAGATGTATTGCAGCAACCGCAGAAGGGAGGTGGGGGGCATCTTTAACAAAAGTCAAATTACATATCAACTTGGTTTAAAGTTGGAAGGTGGAGGCATAATATGCATATGCAAATAGGTAGTTTCCCTTATACCTTGCAGAACTTATCATGTATGCTTTGAATATCAGTGATTTACGTACCTAAAGGTATATCTTACAATTGCATGCAATATGCAAAAAATCTTAAATTACCCGTGAAAACAATTATTTTTCGTAGTGAAAAATGACAATGTACATGTACATTAAGATGTCAATTGAATTTGTGAAATGTTTGACACTTTTCATGAAATACGTGCACTTTAAGATCATATTCTATATGACATATACAGACACTGAAAATATGGTTATGAAAACTGCAACGTTTCGTCGAAAATGTTAATTGTCTAAAAAAAAAAATCAAATTCATTACGCCTTTTAAATTCTACGAATCGGTCGATAAAGCATTAGGAAGAAAATACAATAGTTAAATTGTGAAAAACATCTTTTAAACATGTGTGTTTAGTCTACGGAATTTTATTTTTGGACAACCCTCCCATTTAAATGTCTGTGAATTTGCAAAATCATACTTCAGGTTTTACATTGCAGTTCTGTAAGGAAATATGAAAATATGAAATCATGTGCCTTTTACAACAGATATGGCTGCTATCCAGGGTCAGGATGTCATTCGTTGTGAACTATGTCAAAATCCTGTGGAAAATCACTGTAATCTTTGTCATGTGGACCTCTGCATCTCTTGCATACCAAGTCACATGGCTGACAAATCAAGAAAACATGAAATTGTTGAATACGCTTCAAGAAAAAAGACACTGTTATCCTACCTACCTGTTCCACACATGCAAATAACCATTGTGAAGCGTACTGCGAAGATTTTAAGACACATGTTTGTATACTATGCTTCATGGGGTCACACAAACACCATGCCATCATTCATATTATTGAGAGTCTTCAACAACAGTTGCAGCTAATTATATCTGACACAGAAGAGCTGGAGAATGACATTCTTCCAAATTACAGAAAGGTTAATCAAAGTACAACTGCAGAGGACTTTGACAAGGTTCTGACTGCTATCAAAGAACAAGAAGAAAAAAATTGTGTCCCTGTGCATAAAGCAGGTCTTCAACTTAAAGATAAATAAAAGAACAGAAGGGATCGGCTTTAACTGAAAGCACAGAGAGCCAGTCCTTGACAGAGAAAGCTGAAAAAGAACTTGACCAAGGTATTCAGAAAAATAAGGAAGTTATTCGATGCAATGACGCTTTAACTATAATGAACTACAGATCAAGAAATGGTGATTTCAGAAAATGTCCAGAATTACCAGTTATTTCTCGTGTAGAGTTACTTCCTGGTTTAATTGAAAAAGACCAATTGTCCACATGATCGGTTTTCTTATAGCGGAGCGGATAGTGGGGAAAATATTTCACTTGTGGATACAAGCACCAAATTTTGCATGAAGGTTCTTTGACTATTACTGAAATAAGAAATATTGTTGGCCACTCAAGTTTCGGCCCTTTTCAAGATGGCCGCCACTTATTTCAAAATGGCGCCTTTTTTTCATAATTGTTCCTAATATTTTCATCCTTCCTCGGTAATACTTTTATTTCTTCTAAAATAATAAAAAGGAACTTGGTACATGATATAATTTGAGGTCCATTTTATATATACATACACTGCGCATGCGCTTAAATACAAACAAAAGCTGTTTTAAGACATGACTGAATTAATCTTTTGAAACGTGTATAGCTGCATAAAGCAATGTAAGGTAATCAGGACCTGAAGCAGTTGAAGTTATATTACACCAACATTTTAATAGTTCTTGACATGATGCACAATTGCTGGCAAGAATGTACAGTGTGGGGCACAAAATCCACGTTTTTTTTTACTCAACCCTAACTGGAAGGTTAGGGTAAAGTTAGCCACTTGCATACTAGTAGTGACTGACCCAATGAATGACCATCATGTAATCCAGGTCTCCGAATCTGCCTTACAAGAGCAGCTCTTAAGGGAGGGGATCAAGGCAAGCGTCATTAATGCTATTCGCATTGCTGATTGTACATGATGACAACAAATTCTTCCAGTACATTGATTAAAGGTTTGACAAGGGGTGCTTCAAAATTGGATTTGAATATTTCTTTGGCGTTCTCAAATATATTCAAGACCTGTCATGCTGTCTTTTTACCTTTCCAAACAAAGGCCGACACTGTATCACTACCCGTGAATGCATGACAGAATGGTAATGCATTTGATATGGTTCCAGTGATCTAACAACATCATAAATTGTTATTCATCTCAAATCCTGGCCTTTTCAAAATGTCATTCATTACTGATCCACATTTAATTCATCAAAAGAGTTACACAACAACGTCCCTATCCGAACTAACCATGTAGATTAATCTGTGCTGCTACCGCCTGGTGCTGCATTTTTTGCATGAAGGAACATACGGGTGTCAGCTCCTTCATGTTAGCAAAGGGGTATAAAGTTGGTATCTATAGCTTTGCTTATATTGAAAGTTTTTCCCTTTACTACAATGATAGTTGCCTCTGTAATCGTGAATATAATTCTGCCTGCTAACCCCCCCCCCCCATTCAGGTTTGTTCTTCTCACACTGAAAGGTGTTCCATGACTTTGGTGGTCTAGTGTCACATTTCTTTTCAGTTTCTGTCTTAAAACTACTTTTTCTGAACACGGAAGATAGTGTCTACCCTCAAATTACCTTTTACAAGAGAATTAATGTGCAGAAGGATAATGACATTGGCATATTTGTTAAAATTTCAGGTTGTTTAGAATTGACTAATGATGCACTGTCAATTACAAAAGCTGTTTCATTGATATAACTGACAATCTTCTGTCAGTACATTATTTGGCAACTCTAGATTTTTCCTGCTTCCAAAATAGGCATCAATTGAAATTCAAAACATTATTAAAACAAACATTTTGTGAAAGAGAGAGAGAGGTGTCCTGGTTTTCATGATCAGAAAGTTCTTGTACATCGCATTGCCTACTGTGACAAAAAATACGAGGGTTGATCCAAAAGTTCGTGGAATTTCGTAATATTTCATTCATTTATAAGTGAAATTGGTTGAAAATTACAAATGAGAATAAAGACACTTGTTGAATATTTTAGATTAAAAATATTTTAAATATTTGCGATAGTAACTCTATGGCAGTTGCCATAGAAACGGATGTTTGGAAATGCGGGGGAGACATCAACGCGTTTATTAACATTTTAATTCTTAATACTTGAAATGAGAATTAAACCGATCTTTGTGGTATAGAAAACGAAAATTATGTCATTATTACGATTGCTTGATCTTTTATAAACCTCTGTGTGTGTATTTTACCGATTTTACTGGATATTTTGTTTATTAGTTAATAATTTATTGTTCATCTTAAGGTTGTTAGACGACGTCAAATTTCGGTCAAGTCATAAGTTTTGTGAAAATCCCGGGATCTCTATCTTAAATGCGCATCTTATTGACATAGACTGAGGAAAAATGCATTTAGCCACTGGTTTTCCAGAGGCTTGAGAAAATAAAGAAAAATAGAACCTTCTTGGACGTTGATTAAAGGTGTGGCCGCCTTTTTGAGACTCTGTTTTAAGTGTTGTCCCCCTTGATAGATTGAAAGCTTTAATAGACGTTGTCGGCTGACGTACTGTTCTTGACATTGCTACTGAAAGAGAGAGAGGGTATTGGTTTTCATGATATGAGTAAAAAATGAAGATTACCCAGGCTTTTCTTGAGAAAAAAAATGGAGGAAAGGGCAGCATTTTGAAGAATTACGTGTTCGAATTTGTAACGTGACGTGACACACCTAACTTGACATCTTGTGCTGGTAATTGGAATTGCATTATGACTGTATTTTATAAATATGCCTATTGTTTGCTTTTGTCAAATCATGATAAAATTTTAGAAAGAAATTCCACGAACTTTTGGATCAACCCTCGTAAATAACAGAAAAACTGCTATAGTCATCTTCCAAATTTGCCAACTTTGACTTTGAAGAATCAGAATTTTGTTTTGGATTGAATATGCGACATTTATCAGTCCGAACAAGTTCATAAAACCTTGATTATCACCTTCAGATACTCTTAAAAGGAATACCCAATATTGTTCTTTCCCAATGTATCCCTTTTTTAATATTTCATCCTGCAGTTTCATCAGTTTCGACAACAACTATAAAAATCCTGCACTTTCAGTTTCGACAACAACTATAAAGATCAAGCAACTCTTCCTCAAACGGATTTCCCATTTCCAAAATTATACATGTAGGCATAACCCGATTTACTTGTGAAAAAAAAAACTTTCTTGAGCAGCATGACTTTCTTCGAGATGATTTTCTTCTTCTCTTGAACATTTCAACATATTCATGTGAACTCTTTAGTAAGTTTGCTGATTTCTGGATCAGCTACTACCTTAAATGCAGCTGGATCTTCCGCTAACCATCACCTGATCTTCTGTTAAATGTAACCATCACTTTTACAAATAGCATTGTTATGCTCATGGGCTTGACCAATGGCAAAGTTTGAAAACTAATATTTTTTTCTAAGTAAATTCCTTTTTTAATTTATCACTAAACATATGTCCGGGTGTTTTTACATTGCACCCAAAGGTGAAATGGTACCCATCGATCATATTTGATGTGACCAACGGCAATTACTAGCATTCTTTGTAAAGCCTAACATCTGATTCTCTGCAAGACCTTACAAAGTAAAGACAACGAGTTCCAACAGAATTCTTTACCAAAATTTAAATTGTGAAATCTTTTTTCTTTTTGTTCCGAGAAAAATAGATCATCTATTTCAGTTTCATCACAATTATTGAGTTCCTTTGCATTTTGGTCTGCTTTTCTATCAAGTCATACAGACAGCAGGCAGTAATTTGACTATCTTGTCTTGTTTTAGCAAGATTTAGAAAATGCTAGGAAAGACTCAGCAGTTCCAGAATATGCAACTTCTACTTGAATCAATGCAGTCATCCAGCCACTTCTTTTCAACAAATCACCAAGCAGTTTTAAGCTGCCATTTAAATATGGAATCCATTGAACATATTGACAACATATCTATCTTCACCATAAATTTCCAGTCATTCTCTTCGTGTTTATTGGTTACAAGCGGCTTTTTTTAGTCATCACAGGCGTTTTTCTTGGATTTTAAAAGATGGTGCTGACTTCACAGTCCATGGCATTCTTCATTGTGGATAGCGAATCGTTACCTGTTGTTTTATGTCATAAATACAACATTGATTCATTTCCTTTTTTTAACGTTCCTTAAAGGATTATTTCACTCATTAAAATTAAAGGTTGTTTGAAAGAATATTTCACTCAGTGCTATTTAATGTTCTCCAAAGGATTATTTCATTTATTGAGATTTTACGTGCGTTGGATGAGTGTTTCACTCCATGATATTTTATGTTTCATGAGGAATTATTTTACTTATTGAGGGCTTTCAAATACAAAATTTTACTTGGTATTCAGGCCCAAGATAGTGAGGGAACGCCTGCAAGGCTTTTTGTAAAATATATGTTACAATTTTTTTTAAAATGGCTTCTTGCTACTGTGATAATGACGTTAATATCTACAATTGGGAACGATATTTTGTGTTATAAGAAAATCATTTTGTCTTGATATTTATAGCATTTAAGCTAGAATATGATTTTTATAGTCTTTTTAAAATTTTTAGATATATTTAAGCGGCCAAAGTATAATTAATTTGGTTGTAAGAGAATGTATGTGAGGCCAAACTGCCTGAAAATGTCGCCATTTTGTTTTAGTGGCGGCCATTTTGAAAATGGCGGAAATAGCGGTGGCCAACGATGTTTTTTGATTTAGTAGTATCAGATAGACATTTGAACCAAATTTCATGCTTGTATTCACAAGTGAACTATTTTTCTGAAATTTTGATCTAGGCCGCTACACTATTAAGAGCGTTGACGTTTTGCTGAAAAGGCCCGGAACCCTGAAAGTGATGGATGATCATGTGGTATTCAGTACCATACAGAGTCCTTTTGGAGATGATGATAAATATCTTAAAAGTGTACAGTGCGTAGGAAGAGATAAGATCTTGACGACTGGAAATGCCTGTGAAATAAAGCAGATCGACAGGACAGGAGTCATTCTACAAACAATTCCTACACATGATTGGGTGTGGGCATTGTCTATTACCTTACAAGAACCGGTGTTTTCTCTTAACATCATTACTATTAAAAGAACAGAGATTTATATATATATAAGCAGGACAAAGGAGAATTTCTATTTAGCTTGAAGGACTGGTATCCAGTTGGACTATGTTACGCCAAGAATTGGGATCTTCTTGTGAGTATGCGCACTACAGATATGGAACTACGAAGAATAGTACGGTACTCAGGGTCCACAGAAATTCAGGAGATCCAGTTCAATGGTCTAGGGCAATCTTTGCTTTCTACCGATATTGCTTATTTGTTACCCATAACTGAAAATAGCAATGGGGATATCTGTGTTACTGATTATGCTGGGATGGAGGTTGTAGTGATGGATTCTTCGGGCGAATTACGATTCAAATATTCTGGAAACCCAACGTATAGAAACTTTAGACCATTACATATTGCTTCTGATGTGAATGCTCAAATGTTGATATGTGATACCTTAGGCAACGTTATCCATATTATCGATGGCGATGGTAGCTTTGTCCGTTATATTGAGTACCCGTGTTATGGAGGACTGAGTATCGATACAGACCACAACCTTGTCATTGGAGACAGACATTCAAAATCAAAATAATCATATATTTGGAATAATGAACTTAAAGATTTTTTTTTTCAAAACAGGCAGAACTTATTCAATATATAGTGACATTTTAATTTTGAAATTTTCTTTTTTTTTTTAAATAAAAAAAGAACTGCTAAACCACAGAAAATGTCCGTTCTCGAATGAAGCAATCATTTGGACGAAGACAAAGTATACTTTAGTTTTCTATAAATAGATATGTTCAGGTCGAGAAAAGAAGCCCACAACATATATCAGAAATATATAACTATATCCAGCTGAATAAATGATGCCTTTGATTTTTTTTTTTTGATATATTTCTAACTGTGTACCGATTACGAAATCATGCATTCTAGTTGACTCTCAGTCATGTATTGTACCAATGTTATCGCATCATTATATACGGAACATTATTCTTTATCATGTTACTTATTGTTTTGACTAATAAACCCATATTTATGAATATCATAGTAATATATGGAAATAAAAATAATAGAGAAATTTGGATAATCACAATATTAATAACAATAATAATTAGATCAAATCTCGTTGCACAACAACCAGTAGGACGTCCGACCAGTTTGACCGGAAGTAACTTTTATTTTTACAAAAATGAGTAAATACGTCTCCAATGATTTAAATCTTACAAATCTATGTTAATTATTGCAAAAGTATGGCATTTTTGCTACTTACTGTTTGACCAGAAGTGACGCCGAAATATGCATTTTCTGACTTCTTCCGGTTTGGCCGGAAGTGATGTCAACGGACGTATTTTGACGATCTCATTAGATTATACTTTGATGTAGATCATACTCAATACTTAGAAAGATATTTAGAAAGAACGTCTGGTCTCACTAGATCCCTTATTTCAGGGTCAGCCCTTTTTTCGAGATACCATTCCGATATAAGATCTCTGAATTCTTCACAATTTTTGTTCTTATGTTTTAACAAAATATTTCTTCGTAAAAAGATGTCGTAGAAAATTAAAGGTGTCAGAAATTTTGAAATCCACGATAGGACTATTTTTGGGCCATAGCTAGCCTCGGCCCTTCGTACTTCCAGTACCAATGGTATACCCAATTCAATTCTACATTTTTGTTGCTCTATCGTCACTGAAAATTTCATATTTCTATGTTTAATGGATTTTGAGACAAAATGTCCCTCTAAAAATGACAAAATCGCGGAAATCTCCGAACCGGAATTGACGTCATAAAAACAAAGGTTTTCTGATGTTCTATCAGACCTGAAAGTTTCATGAAAATCAATCAAGCCGTTTCCAAGAACTCACAAGCACAAAATCGGTAAAATAACTAGCTAGAGCAAAGTTTGTTGCAAAGCAACGAGTAGGTCTTCCGTCCTGTTTGACATGAGTAACTTTTATTTTTGAAAAAAAAAATAAGTAATAACGTCAAAAAATGGTTTAAATCCTCAAAATCTATGTAAATTATTGCAAAATTAAGCAATTTTTGCTACTTCCGGTTTGACCAGAAGTGACGTCGACGGATGGATATTTAAGTTTTATGCTCCCGGTGACATATGTTGCCCCAAAACTTGTCAAGAACATTAAAAATACTAATTTTCCGATTACTTCTGATTTGGCCAAAAGTGACGTCATTGGTCGCAAAATAACAAATTTTCAATACTTTTAAAGATATCAGGAAAAACGTCTGGCCCCAATATATCCTTTATCTTAGGGGCCAGCCCTGTTATCGATATATCATTTGAAAGATCTTCAAATTCTACACTTCTTTTGTTCTATATGTTTTGACAAAAAATTTCCAGGTAAAAGGATATCACAGAAAAGGTGTAAGGAAATTTGAAATTGGCGATAGGTATAGTTTTATCATCCCTGAAAGTTTTATGTTTCTATCTCAACCCATTTCTCAGGAAAAACTCTGGACAACCCGACCCTTTAAAATTCATAAAATCTGCAATATCTCAGACCGGAAGTGACATCATAAAAAAAAACACACGAGGTTCATGTGATGATACAGAAGTCCCGAAAGTTTGATGAAAATTCATCCAGCCCTTTTCGAGTAATCGCGTGCACAAAATCGGTAAGAAAAAAAAAAACAATAATGAAAGTGTAAATGAAACCTAAGAATAACAGAAAGGTCTTCCGCTGAAGACGAAAGACCTTAACTAGATGAGATCTCGTTGCAAGCAACGAGTAGGTCTACAGTCCGATTTCTCGATAAAATGAGAAGTGATTTTGAATGAGATTTTCGTAAACAGAAAATGGTATAAGGTATTCTTTCAGAAAATGTCCCTCTATTGATTTATAATGCAATGTCTTCAACATCTTCTGTTTAATACGCATTATCAAAATATATCCTCTTTTTGGTATATAAAGCATCAAATATTCAGCATTCTGGTCCCTTGTGACCCCTTATTGCATAACATATGATAAAAATTTAATAACAAGCTGCTGCAAATCTTTAAAATGAATTTAATAAACCTTTGCCTCAGAAATGAATCACAAAAAAATATTGATCATTATAAAGTTAAAGACTTTTGGTCCCTCTGAGCCCCTAATTTCAGAGGTCAGCACATTTTCTTGATTTCAAAAGAAAGGTCTCATAATTTAACAATTTAAAAAAGCTTACAGAACAACACTACCCCGGAGTTCAGTGATTTCTTTGAGTAAATAACATAGTTGAAAAACTTTATTTTGCCTAAAAAGTTCTGCTAGAATCCCACTGTCGTGTCAGTAAAATAATAACTCCACTCATTCGCACGAAACCTTACCAGATGTTTTAAATTTTATACATATGAACGGAGATTTATTGTAAAATCATGCTTAACTCAGGCCCTAGCAGCACTTTCCAAGTATCTTAGAAGGCAAAGTTTCCATCTATACAAATCTTATGTTTCAATTTTCAATTTGTTAAACTCTATACATGTACACAACACTTAGCACGGACTGACGGTGCTAGTGAGGCGGTTTTGTTTTCGAACTTTTGTATAAACTTCATTCGCCGTGTTGAAAGATACGGGTTACATAGAGACACGTTTTCCTTCCTTTTTGAAATGTAGAGAACATTTGAAAGGATTGCTTGTTACTTTTTTTTTGTTACTTGAATAAAATATTATACACTGACTATGATAAATTATATTCCAATTTCTCTTGATAATTTGGTGTTTAACCAAATACATTATTATCAACCCTTCAAAATTTGCAAGTGTTAAAACAAAAAAACAATAAACATTCTGAATATTTTATTAATATTAGTGTAATATTAAGATTTTAGAGAAACAAAATCCATGTTATTACTAATAACAATCTAGATAAAAAATGATCTGGAGATAACGAACAGTATTCAATCTCAAAGTCCATAAAACAATACAAAATAAGGGCAGAGCAAACACGGACCCCTGAACGTCAGAGGTAAGTTCAGGTGCCATGGAGGAGTGAGCATCCCCTGCCGACCGGTCCCACCCGCCGTGTGCTCCTTGTCATGATCAGGAAATTACAGAAAAATCCGTCGTCAATTCAGTGTATAAATGATGGACTAACAATTGGTATGAAAAACGTCAGTCAGCATTTGACTCAATGATAAACTGTATTTGCTGATAAGGTCATTGTATCGACCATAGAAATTACGGAATGATGACTTTAAACGAGACTGCTGATACTCTTGTTTCGTCAACTTGCTTGTCAATAATTTACCTCGTTTTAGAAATTGTTCATACGTAGAGCATGTTCTTGCGTATCGAATCAGGTGATATATATTTACTCCGTATGCATAATAATATCAAATAAAGGTGGAACATATCTGTAGTTCCTTTCCTAAAAGTTATAACTGTTTGATTTTAATATTTCCCCAAGTCTAGACGCAAAGATAGCATACTCCTCCGACTTCTCTTCATCCAGGCATTCTAGATATGACTCACCCCTAATTCGGTCCATCAGATATAAAGGGGTATTTTTCATGGTTTTTTTTCTCTAAGATTATAAGAAACAAAGCGTTTTCGCTGTTACGAGGATAATTGGTTTCCATTCTTACTATGTTTAATTCAAACATGCAACAATGGGAATCTAAGAAGTGTGACGTCATAACACAAACAGTTCGTTTGCTACAGTGAATGGCATTTGTAATATTGTCCATTATTCCTGTTCTAGGAATAAAATTTATGTGATGAATACATAGTCGAAAATCATATTCCTTTTCAAACTTTTTTTACAAGATTAATAACAATGTCCCTGTCTTGATCAGCGTATGAGATGAAGGCATCAAAGCGGTAAGAACGTTAATTGATGTCATCACCTTCGACGTCGTGACCCAGATATTTTTCCCTAGCGACGTTATACATATATCTATGCTTTCATCAATATCTAAATACGATGCGACTCACTGTTGTTTTTTTTAAAAAAAAAACGATTAGGATAATATCTTATTCAATCTAATTCGAGACTTTGGCGAATAAAGGGCTAATTTTCTATATAAAAGAATTTTTAGATCTCTGTATAAAGTTTATTTAATAGAGTTATATACTGTATGTGTGCGTAAAAAAGCGGGCTAAATAATTTTATTTTAGCGAATTTGGCGAGGACATTTATGCGCTAATTAATAAATACCGCTAAATTAATCATATTATAAAACAATATACAGCTAGGAAGTGTGCAGAGCTAATTCACAAATACGCCAAAAACTCACCATATAGTAATTGCCCTAAATTTTCAATACGCCTTATCATGCACACATACAGTTATAATTCCATATTTCTGAGTTCCGAGGATAGCTCAAATTTTGCAGCTCTACACCGGCAAATATGGTGTCTTAATATTAGGGAAAACATTTGCAGAGGGACGTTAAACAACAGTTAAACAAACAAAAACTGCAGTAAACATTTTGGAAATGTCATTTACTATATATCATCAAAACTTTAGAAGTTTGATTTACTGTGGTGAAAACTTAAGTATGCTACACTTTTTTGCAAACAGAAAATGTCTTATTCAATTTAAATAATCAACAGAAAGATTGATATTGAACATGAGTGTGTCAAAATGGGGA